TTATGCCAGTTAGTTTCGTTTTTTACTATTCTTAATTAGTAAAGTCATAAATGATTTACATTTAACTGAATATTTGGTTATTTATTAATTATGTGCAGTTGTGATATACCAGTTAGCATAATTACATTTTGTACATATATAAATGGGTTTTTGTAGTTTTTAATCTTAATATTCGATATAAAAATTTCATAAATTGTACTATTTACAAAATATTGTCTTAATATTTAAGAGCTACCTGTATGGAGACAGAAATAATGCAAACATAAGACATCGCAAGCGAAGCTGCGGGGACCCTGCTAGTATATTATATTTTTGATAATGATGATAACACTATCCTTTTGCTAGTATTTTTAGATTCCCCGCAGTTTACTTTGTATACAAATAAATCCTTTTGCGGTTTCCATTTAAGCCCCATGGTTGTTATCCTTTACTTTTAACAAGAGTGAGAACTTTGTTATCACCTGTTTCTTCTACAGTTTACATTATTTTTAGACTCCATTTAATGATAATGTCAAATATATCCTTTTGAGCTCGTGGACCAACCTACATTATGTCGTTCAAACTTTTGTTGTTAGTTGTTTTTGTTCAAGCGTCAAAAACAACTCTTAATTTGGTCGTCAGGCTCTCTAATAACAGCCTGGTGCAGTAAAAAGTACTTACCCTCTTTCTGCACTTCGACCATATGTCATAAATCCACATAAATTATGGTTTTTGTTTCGGTATATATTGAAAAAAATCGATTTTTACTTAGAGTTTATTTAGTTCCTCACAGTTAGATTCCCAATGTTAAACTGATTTTACAAAATGTATTATTAGCGACGGGAGCAGTGAAAGAGGACTTTGATAAGAGAATTTGGATTGGTCAAAACTTGGGCCTGATGAAATGGTTTCTAGGCTGCATCCTTTGTTTAATTAATTTGGATTGGCCAAAGCTTTTATACTAACGAATAATTTCTGAGGCTGGATCTTTTGTTTAAAAGTTTGAATATTGTTTATGTCTGCCGTCGTTGATAAAGGCGTGTGAAATGCTTATGTTAAATGTTTATAATTAGGGTGCCGCCGATCGAATGCGTGGGAAAGATTTATGTCTAATGCTTATGTCAGATTAATTTGGTTTAGTTTTAATATCTTTTTAATTTTTTTTCAAGATACATGTAACGAGCCATTGCCTGTTTCTTTAAAACTCCTAAGGTGACATCATCTTTGAATGGAATTGACACAAAGTATCGCCCATCGGAATCTTTTTTAGTAGTTTTTATGAAATTTTTTTTCACATATTTCAGATTGGATATCATTTTTATCTTCTTCCTCGACTTCCCAATACCGATCCATATCTTTTAATTCGATGGTAGTTGCTACAACTGTCTTTTTACCTTTCGATTTTTTGCATCCAGAGACAATCCACCCGAAATTGGGTTTTTTGGCCGAGGAGGCCATTAATTTTGACCACTCTATTCCGCAAAATGTGAGTGTATAGATCTGCCCAATTATCAGATCTACCCGGCTTATTAAAGTCTGGGTCAGCCAAACAGTGTTGTCTGGGAGAGCCCTTGTTAATTTTGGAAGTATCAAAGCCTCAACTTGAATCGTTTTTGGGAACTGTTTATTTTAATTGAAAGATTTATCTTGTGCTTCAAGATGCACTTTCCCGTGGTCGATACTCCACTGATTCCTTTTTTGTAGGGGTGTGAAATTATTAGGACAAAATTTTTGTATTTTTTTTTATAAATTATTATTTTATTATAAATTTTATATTAAAAAAAAATACAAAAATCTTGCCCTAGTGGTACCGCAACTTTGTGGAACCTCACATCCTAGCAAAATACAAAACGATATTTTAGTATTTTCGAACACTGCTTGTCAGCGGGCTTGCACCCGGCATTTGCGTTTTTCGTTTTTTTATTTCTGATCTTTCGGCCAAAGCACACGTGTTTTAATTCCAATCGAATTGTGTAAAGGGAGTAATAAGTCCTTGCGTATATACATATATATACACCACATCGGGCTTAATAACCGCCCAAGAAATAGAACAACCACAACGAGATTTACAAATGCTCAAAGTTTGGCTGGCTGAATTTCCGTTGACAGCGATCCCAACCTCCAACTGATAGTTGAAAAACTAATTAGGTGAGCTTAGGGATTTAAGCTCCCTCAATAAACGAATACTAATCGGTAAACGTTATTAAGAGTGCGCAGCGGTATTCGAAGAAATCGCCTGGTGTTCATTTTTGGCCCACTCTGGTTGCCACGTGGAGACGGCCAACAGCATCAGCAGTTCATCGTCCTTTCGCCAGTAGCACCAGAAATTCGCCCACAAGCACCAGCAATTTATAGCAGGGTATCTTATCGCCAATCTGCACGGCCGAATTCTGGTTAACACACGGCTCTCGAGCCAAGCCGCCTACAGTTTTCCTGTGCAGAATTTTCAAGATCCACACTTCACACTTTTTATACCCTTGCAGAGGGTATTATAATTTTGGTCAAAAGTGTGCAACGCAGTGAAGGAGACATCTCCGACCCTATAAAGTATATATATTCTTGATCAGGATCACCTCCTGAGTTGATATAACCATGTCCGTCTGTCTGTCCGTCTGTCTGTTTCTACGCCAACTAGTCTCTCAGTTTTAAAGATATCGAATTGAAACTTTGCACACACCCTTCTTTTCTTTGCACGCAGTATATAAGTCGGAACGGCCGGGATCGGACGACTATATCCTATAGCTGCCATATAACTGATTGATCGGAAATGCCATAACTTTGGTGTTTGTAAAGTTAGGAAGTTGGCATTTTCTATGGGCTTTATTTTTGGCCAATCAGTCCGACCTACCAAATTTCATAAGGATCGGCCGACTATATCCTATAGCTGTCATATAACTGAACGATCGGAAATGCCATAACTTTGGTGTTTGTAAAGTTAGGAAGTTAAGATTTACTATGGGTTTTAGTTTTGGCCTATCAATCTGACCTACCGAATTTCATGAGAATCGGCCGACTATATCATATGTCTGCCATATAACTGAACGATCGGAAATGCCATAACATTGGTGTTTGTAAAGTGGGATTTTTTATGGGCTTTATTTTTGGCCAATCAGTCTGACCTACCAAATTTCATAAGGATCGGCCGACTATATCGTATAGCTGCCATATAACTGAACAATTGAAAATGCCATAACTTTGGTGTTTTTAAAGTTAGGAAGTTGGGATTTTTTATGAGTATTATTATTTACAGAGTATTCTTCAAGGGTATATCAACTTCGGCTCCGCCCGAAGTTAGCTTTCCTTTCTTGTTTTTAGTATTTTAAATAGATTTAAATTTTGTAGACAATAGCATATTAAACGGGTGCAGTATGTATATTTTGCCTTAGATTGACTGTTAACTAACTAAATTTTGTAGTTCACTCAGCATAAAGGTCTGTCGACTGCGCTGGAAACAAATTAAAGTATTCGTGTTGTATGTACGGCATAGCCGTTAACATCAATCTAAGCCAAGTTGTATAATCGCTAGATTAAAGTTTCGACACCCGCACGATTTTGTTAAGTAACGTAAATTCTTGAATGAAAAACATAAATGAAGTCAATTAAACTCACTGGCAACCGAATCGTTGGCCCCTTTAGACTAAGCTTACGATATTTGAAGTCATTACGGAATAAAAGGTGAAACGAATCACAAGTAAAAACGAAATCCACACAACCCCGCATTTTTATATATTCTTTTGGGAAAACACTCTGGAATTGTTCTTGGCACGGACCCGCCACAACATTTGGTCCTTCGAGCCGGATTTATTTTCGTCGTTCTCCGCAAGCTAAATAATTCCAAAGTTTTTTCCAGTAGCAATATATACATATATATATATATTTTACCACCGTTAAGGTCTCCATTTTTTGGGAAAATATTTATATTTATATATCTGCTTTGATCTCCACAACACTAGTGGTACATTCCGTGCAACTCCACAAAATTAAAACACAAAAAATTAAATAAAATCACACATATCCATACGCATACACATATGCACACAGAATCCATACACCGTGCAAAGTCCCATTTTTTCACATTAGTCTTTAAAGTAAAACTTTGCAGCATCCAAAATCCAGTTGTACCAGCATTATTTTAAACTAAAACACACAAAACAATAACAAACCCGGCTTACGAACGCTGCTGCAGAACCGCCTACTTGGCATACTTGTCAGACCGGCGAGTTTAGGGGTGGCGGCAACCGCCTTTTTTGTTTCCTGTTCTCCGCGGCATCCCGAATAAAAAACACAACCCAATAATTGTCTAGCTGATATTTCAGTAGGTTTTTTAATTATTGTATGGTTGTTTTTCTCTTATTTACATTGCATATTGGTGTGTGTGCCGTCACACAGGGTGTTCCATAATAGGCCGTTCACACTGCATTGCATTTGGGACGTAGCAATAATAGCAATAACAGAAATAAAAAATAAATAAGTAAATTATAATAAATTTCATCCAAAAATAAAGAAAATCCTCCAACAGCGAACCGATTCCACGAGTCCCGCATCCATTCTTTCTGGGCCAGTCATATAAATTCGATAAACTTTCCAAAATTAGAAAAAAAAATAAATAAATAAAAATAAATTTCATCCACAAATAAAGTAAATCATCCAACAGCGATCCGATTCCACGCTTTCCGCATCCATTCCTTCTGGTGCAGTCATATATTCTCCAAGACTTACATCCATTTCATATTCCATCCAAGTTGTAAGTCGTACCCAATTACATATTTGTGTTATATTGATCCCTGGTATGGTTCTCTGACCAGGTTCCAAATCGTTAAGCCGAGACGCACTAAACAGCGACAGCTTCCACGTCCCTTGTCCCGTCAGTGTAAGTTCAGGCTCCTACTCGAGCCTACTATGCCGATTGGTGAAGGTGAGGAACCTAAAGTTCAGTTAACCGTTCCATCAGTCAGAACACCCAGCCGGGCCAGAGCCAAAAGCGAGTTGTCACTGCCCACCAAAAAGGCAGGACCTAGAAAATGCTTAACTCCATCCATAAGGATCAGCCGTACTTCCAGGACAACAAGCGAAAAGTCCTTAACCCCTCGAAAACCCGTTTGAACAACTGCGTCAGTTTTGTCCCTGCGAGTCACGAGATCAACTGCGAAAATGGCTGACGTCTGTTCACACTAACAAGGTCAGACTTCAGCAGATACAAGCTCTTTGCGACAAGGTAGAGAAAGAGTACGAGCAGTGCTCTGAGGTTCTTTTCTTAGTAAATAGTACAGAAGTCATGCAAGCCAAGTATGACTACTGTTACTCTGTCCTTGAAAGATGCGCTGCAACACTAAACGAAACGATTGAAAGAGCTAGCGTTCAACCGATTCCTGAACCGCCCACACCGGTGCCTTTGCCTAGTGGATGCCGCGTTTCCGCCATCTATGTCCAAAATCCGAGGCTTTCAGGCGTTGAAAAGTTGTTCCACCTCAACTCGAAAACGAGTGGAGAAGCAAAGTCTATTGTGGCATTATCACCATTGACTAACGAAGGGTTTCCGTCCGCATGGGGAAATCTGCAGACTCGTTCCGAAAACAAGCGACTGCTCGTCAACAGCCAGCTAAAGATCCTGTTTAATCTCCCCACTGTTTCCCAAGAGTGTGGCAATTCCCTTAAGCACCTGGAGAGCACTGTCTAAGGTTGTTTGACAGCCCTGAAAATAGCAAAAGTAGACATAACAAATTGGGACTGTCTTCTCGTCTTCCTGTGCTCCTCAAAGCTGCCGAAGCTGACGTTGGCTCTGTGGGAACAGTCCCTCCTCAACCCATCCGCGATTCCAGGGTGGGAAGAATTAAAGACCTTCTGAAAAGGTCGTCATCGAACCCTGGAGGCAATTGAAGAATTTAAACCTACTTTGACCACTCAATCCAGAGCCCCACGTCCTGAAGGTGGGCCGCGAATTATCCATAACTTTGAAAATAGGGTCACCGTAAATCCACAGTCGTGTAAACTTTGTCCAAGGGAGAACCATCCGATCCGTCTGTGTCCCCAGTTTCTAAATATGTCGGTTGCCGACAGGGAACAGTGTATTAAACAACAGAAACTCTGTTTGAACTGTTTTGCAAGAACCCACATGTTGAGAGACTGCACAAGTACGCACAATTCACAAGTCGCCACAATACTCTCCTCCATCTCCCCCATTAAGCCACAAATCCAAATCGAAGCGTTTGCATATGTGCTACCACATTTAGCCGGAAATCTTCCATCCTATACGATACCCGAAGGGTCATTGAGGGACCTCCCTCCCATCCAATTAGCATTTCTACTAGATTTCGCAAATTGACGTGCTCATAGGCGCCGATATCCTTCCGTCGATCATTTTAGGCGGCTTCCTTTCAAATGTTTGCGGAACACTCCTTGGCCAAGAGACCATATTCGGGTGGATTCTTTGCGGCCCAGTCGCGAAGAATCCCACTAATAGAATATCTCAGCACGGTTGTCTGTCACCGAATCTCAACTAGACGGCATCCTCACCAAGTTCTGGGAGGTGGAGGATGTTCCAGTGAAGCCGGGTAAGAAATCCAGCTCGGTGTGTGAAAATAATTTCCAGCAAACCACCACAAGGGATAAAGAAGGAAGGTATGTTGTTTCTTTGCCCTTTAAAGAACCTAACAAAATAAACCTGGGGCATTCACGGTCCATCGCACTGTCGCAATGCCTTAGGAATGAAGTACGGCTGAGTAAAAACGCTCCTTTGAGAGAACAGTATAACTCAGTTATTCAGGAATATTTCGATTTAGGTCATATGCACCTAATCTCTCCAAATGACACCAGCAATTTTTACTTGCCGCACCACGCGGTTTTCAAGCCAGACAGTACCACCACAAAGGTTCGCTTGGTGTTTAACGCCTCCAATAAATCGTCAAACGGGTACAGCCTAAATTATATCCTTCATACAGATTTGGTACTGCAATCTGATTTGACCACCCAGATCCCCAAATGGCGTTTCTTTAAATACGTCTTCAATGCTGACATCACTAAGATGTATCGGCAGATTCTCGTCCATTCCGATCATACACGTTTCCAAAGAATCCTGTTCCGCGATAAAGGGGGAAAACTCTGTGATTATGAGCTCAACACTGTCACTTTCGGCGTTAACTGTGCCCCTTTTTTGGGCATACGCGTGCTTCAACAACTGGCTCACGATGTACGTGACCAATATCCTTTGGCAAGTGACATAATTTCTAGATTTATGTATGTCGATGATGTTTTAGCCGGCCCCGACACGCAACAGTCCGCTGTTTCATCCATCAAAGAGCTCCCCGGTGCCCTAGAGAGTGCGGGCTTTCCACTGCGCAAGTGGACCTCAAACGAGAAGAAACTTTTACAGGGGATTCCAAAGGAACACATGAATAGGACCGACTTTCTGGAGTTGGAAGACGCCAGTATGGCAAAAACTCTGGGAATCCATTGGCACGCGACATCGGATAGTTTCCTCTTTCTGCCGATGGATATTTCTCTCCAAACAACCTACACCAAACGAGAGGTTTAAGCCCAGATAGCCAAACTTGACCCAGCAGGATGGTTATCGCCATTTATTGTTCGGGCAAAAATGTTCATGCAAGAAATTTGGCTGCGAGAGTTAAGCTGGGACCAGCCTCTTGCGACTGATCTTGTCACAAAGTGGCGTAATATTCTTGAGGGGTATCCAACTTTGAAAGAAGTTCGCATTCCAAGATGGGTAAGATTTCATCCAGCAGCAAAACTGCAGTACCACGGGTTTTGCGATGCATCGCAGAGCGCCTGTGGTGCTGCCATCTTTGTTCGCGTCGAAACGACTGATGGCTGCTTCACCAACTTGCTTTTGTCCAAAACCCGAGTTGCTCCAGTAAAGTCCCTTTCCATACCGCGATTAGAGCTGTGCGGTGCGGTGCTTCTCTCCGAACTCGCCGCAGCAGTTCTCTCCGAAATGCCTCCTACTCAGTATGATACATATTATTGGACAGACTCCACGATAGTGCTTGCATGGCTTAGCAAGCCAGCATGCACTTGGACTACATTCATTTCCAACAGAGTCGCGAAAGTGGATCAGCTCACCAACAGAGAACAGTGGTTTTATGTGAAATCGGAAGATAACCCAGCTGATCTGGCATGCAGGGGCGTCTCAGTCCATAAACTCAAGGACAGCAACCTCTTGAGGCATGGGCCTGAGTGGCTGCGTCACAACCAGGAGCAGTGGCCACTCAATTCGTCGGTCCCGCTCTAAACCGAGCTCGAACAGCGGCCAATAAGGTGTAACGTCGCCACAGAGCCCCCGAAAAATGACATTCTTGAGCGTTTTTCAGCATTTGAGAGGGCTTTACGCGTTCTCGCTTACGTATTCCGGTTTGCAAGAATGTGTCGCAAGCGAGACGTTAACATAAAGGCAGAACTCACTGCCGCAGAGTTGTCTGATGTCCAAGAGAGGCTGATTGTGCTCACCCTACTCAATGAGTATCCAATAGAATGCAAGGCCTTAGGCAAAAAGCAACATATTCCAGTCTCCAGCACGATCTCCAATCTAAACCCCTTTGTCGACAGCCACGGTGTCCACAGAGCCAGCGGTCGTCTACGAGCATCTGAGATGCTAAGCTATGATGAGAAACATCCAATCATCATTCCGGCAAGGTGCACTTTTGCCAAACTTTTGGCCCTCTTTACCCATCGCATATCCTTGCACGGGGGTAATCAATTGATGATCCGACTGATTCGCTCCAAGTATTGGATACCTAAGCTGAGAAATCTTGAAAAAGACACCATTCATTCCTGTCGAGTGTGTACCATTCACAAAGAGAAGCTGCCAACTCAGCTGATGGGAGACTTGCCCTGCGCAAGATCTACATTTTCTGGGGCTTTTACCCACACGGGCGTTGACTTTGCGGAACCATTTGATATAAAAAACTATGTCGGTCGGGGGTGTAAGATAACTAGGGGTATGTCTGCGTTTTTGTGTGTTTTAGTACCCCATCCATCTAGAAGCTACATCAGACTTGACCACTGAGAAGTTTCTGGCGGCCTTCTCGCGTTTCTCCGCAGGACGTGGCTGTCTGCGCCGCATACATTCTGACAACGGGAAAACTTTTGTTGGAGCCTCCACGTCCTTATCCAAGGACTTCATTGAAGCTACGAGGTCTTTGATCCTGTCCAAGTACAGTCTTCAAAATGTGACCTGGCACTTCAACCCTCCTGGCGCGCCTCATATGGGAGGGCTATGGGAGGCCGGTGTCAAAAGCTTTAAGACACACTTCTACAAGCAAACAGCTGGCGGGAAGTACACATTTGAAGAGTTAGCTACCCTCCTATCGAAAATTGAGGCCTGTTTAAACTCGAGGCCCATTTCTCCAATGTCCGAAGACCCCACTGACCTCGTAGCTCTTAGCTCCGGACACTTCCTAGTCAGTGGGCCACTCCTTTCCGTGACTGAGCCCGAGATTAAAGAAAACCCGATTTCCATTTTAAGCCGATGGCAGCGGCTAAAGGCCCTGCATCAGCAATTTTGCTTACGTTGGAAAGAAGAGTACCTAAAGGAGCTCCATAAAAGGACTAAATGGCAATTTCCAACGCGAGGCATTCAGACAGGGGACATGGTGGTGCTAAAAGAGAAGAATTTACCACCAAATGAATGGCGGCTGGGCGGATCCAACCGGTGTGCCCAGGTGCGGATGGCAAGACCCGAATGGCAGATGTTCTTATCTCACGTGGCATTATCCGACGACCAATCGCGAAGATGATCCGCCTTCCGATGGAGGCTTCCAACTCCGAGCGATTCTGCCTTTTCTTTTTTTCCTTGAGTTAGCGACTAACAGCCAATCCTACTAGTCCTAAACTCATGTCATCCTGTGTCGTCAGTCCTCATACATGTCACGATCATTCGCATCATCCATAACCCCTAACCATTGTTTACTAGCTTCCACAGATTGTTCACGATGGCGCCAACTATAATCCAGCACGCTCGTCCCCGCATAACCAACGGGTACAGGTGCCGAGTTTGCCGAGGGGTGCAGGCGCTGAGGAAATGCCAACGGTTCCTCCGGCTCCCGGCGGTAAAGCGGCTCCGCGCGGTCTTTATCAACCACTACTGTGCGAACTGCCTTGCTCACGAGCATTCGGGTCAATCCTGCCGCAGTAATGCCAAGTGCCACGTCTGCAGTGGAATTCACCACACCCTCTTGCATGCTAACCTTGAGTCTTTTTGTAGTATAACATGAAGTAAATTTTGGCGAATTGGGACACCTGAAGTAACTGTGCGTCGTTTGTAAGGTCATTGGCCACATACGCAAAGCGAGCCTATGCAAAGTTGAGTGGCTATTGAAGAGGAATTAAATGACATCTACAATTCCTCACACTTACAATAAAATTCGATTCTTTGGTCTTTGGCTTAGTTAGTCAATAGTTCCCTACTCTGTCTACTATTTAAGTTTTTGTGACGGCGCGGTTTTCTAGGTAGAAAAACCCCACTCCCATTTTCCCTGAGCACGTCGACCTTGTAGGCAGAGTACGCTGCCAGATAGCCGCACATATTGCCGTGTTCGTTGACGTTTGGGACTGAATTTTGGGTAAATTCAAAATCTGCACAGATTCTTCTGAAATTATTGTGCTTTGAGAAACAAAACTCTAAAATTTTCGAAACCTCCCTCAGAGGTTTGAATTTGAACGCATGCCTTAGCCAGTAATTGACTTTCTCATTTATTTTTTTAACCTTTTGGTCTGTTTTGGACTTAACATAAATGTGTAGCATACTATGATGACTTTGGCTCTCGGGATTCGGTCAGCTGCCCTTCTAGGACTCTGGCGGTAAACTACTGTGCACATGACGCATACGCCTCTCGAGACACCCGTGTTTCGGACTTGCGTCCTTCTTGGCTAGTCGCACCAGGGCCTGCACAATTCTCACCTGACGGTTCATGCGTACGCAGGAATTCGTCGAGGCAATCGTTTTCGCACGGCAGCTGGCTCTGGACAACTTCCCTTTCGAGCCCACGGTTCTTTGTCGAAGGACTCTTTTTGTTCAATTCTGCAGGACTCGCCGAGCAATACGCCAAGCTCAAATCGCGACAAGAATTGGAACAAAGCGCCTGGACTTAGCCGCGTGATGCATTAAGGACTTCAGCAACCTGTTTCTCAGTTCGGAGACTTCAACGTCTCGATATAGCGATCTTGCTCCTTGTTGACTCGGCGCGTCTCTGCTTGCTCCTCATGTTTATTTGACTTGTGTTTTTCACTCGCGTTCGGTTGCTTATTCACTGACTTGACTTGATATGCGCTGTTAACTCGCGTTTTGCTGCGTGCTTACTGATCTTGACGGATTGACTCCTTGTGATCCACTGATCCAGATTCCAGCCCTGGACCCGCTTATATAGGACTCTTGGTAACGTTAATCCTCTGCAAAGCACCTGTTTCTTCGGACGGTCGGCGAACACATCCTGACCCATTTAACACAACGTATCGTATCCGTGGTAAAGCGGTCCACTTAAAGTTAGTGTCTGATGCGTTTTTGTTGGCATTCCAAAGGTTCGTGAGTCGACGCGGGAATCCGGAAAAGGTGTGGTGCGACAACGCGACGAACTTCGTCGGAGCCGATCGCCACATGAGAGAGTTCCGGGCCCGTCTGGTGGAGCAGGGGGGCGGTATCGCAACATTCGCATCAAGAAAAGGATGCGAGTTTGCGTTCATACCGCCCAGAGCACCTCACTTCGGCGGACTTTGGGAGGCAGGTGTGAAGTCTGCAAAGCACCTGTTCCTTCGGACGGTCGGCGAAAACATCCTGACCGCGGAGGAGCTCGGAACTCTCCTCACCAGCGTGGAGGCTGTTCTCAACTCCAGGCCGTTCGGAGCGATCAGCACGGATCCCAACGACGGCAAAGCCCTAAGCCCAGGCCATCTCCTGATCGGCGGGCCCCTCCTAGCTCTACCCTCAGCAGCGCTCCCGAACCAAGTCAGCCCAACCTGCTTACGACGATGGCGCAGTGTCTCGTGTCTCAGGCACAGGTTTTGGCAGCGTTGGTCCCGGGAATACGTCTCTAGCCTCCAGGCGAAAAACAAGTGGCACCAGGAGGTTCCAAACGTCGATGTGGGAGCTCTCGTCGTCGTCGCCGAGGACAATCTTCCGCCGCACCTGTGTATGATCGGGCGGATCGTTGCGGTGCAAGTCGGCGCTGACGGCAAGGTCCGAATGGCGGACGTGAGGACGAAGGATGCGACGTATCGGCGAGCGGTCCATAAGCGGGAGCGCAATAAAGATTTATTCCCTCTCGCGAATTCGCCCCGTCTCTCGCCCCCTTCGTTAAGTTAGGCTTAAGCGTTTATATATTGAAATTAAAAGTCAGTGTTAAATCGAACCCGATCCAAACCGCACTCCCTTTCGTCGCTTCGTCGTTATTAAAATCGTCAAAGATCCACCAAGTCGCGTATTTTATTAATACAAAAAAGTATTAAGTTTTTCACCTTCTCTCCAAACTCTCTCTCTCCTCGTACTCTCCAAACTTTCTGTTCTCGTACTCTCCAAACTCTCTG